CGGGTTTTCTTTTCATTCAAAATTTGCTATAATTTAACGAGAACTTTTACTACATTCATTAAGCATATGGAATCCTCCGCCATACTTTAAAACTTCTGTTTTAAAAAATTTGAATCTTATCAAATCAAACACTATAGAAAACTGAACCATAAACATATCCTGATAATCAGTAGAAGTAATCATCGCTAGACGACATAAATGAAACTTTCCTATAAAATAGGAAGAACTAGATGATCTCATATACATTGATCAGTGATAGATCTTGACCGAGATATTCGATATGACGTTAAAACATGCCTGTTACATCGATACCGATGTTTCGATGAAATTTTTAAGCTTCATTGCCTAAGTTTTCAACGGTGATGTCAAATGAGAGTCTTAGCAGAGTATCACCTATCACTGTTGCCTTTCAAAGGCACTTATAGATCATCAAGAGGTTTATTAATTGGTTTGGATTCCTTGGCTATAATCATGTTCAGGTTAAGCCTCAGATTAAGCCAAGGATCATCGCTATTTAAAGATCATTTAAAAATTAATTTGCAAATAATTTAGCAGAACTGCATTAAACTGAAGCTTTCACATCTCACGATTCATAGTGCCGATCGGAAACGTAAGAATGGAACAAGAGATGCTTTTCCGTTTACAATCTTAGTATGTGTGAGGCGATTTCTGAGAAAGTTGATTTAACCTAAACTGTCCATTGCTTGGATGTTGTTGAATTCTCTTTCTTTATCACTCTCATTAGACCTCATTAATGATCCCTGAGGTATCACATTGCTTATACATCGAGTTACTGTTAATCTTTCACCACAATGATAGATAGTTTGTTGAAAGGGAATGTGGTCAAAAAAATCCTCTGGAGATTACTGCTATCTACAAAGTTTCGATTTAAGTTCTTTTATTTTTTCATATGACGTGCAGTAAGGGAAACTGCTATTCCTCAATCCGGACGTTTCAGTCAAAGATTGGAGATGAGAAAGCGGTCTATTTGAGACCTTAAAACCAACTTTTCAGTTTTTTTGGTCGCAGTCAGAGTAGCTATGTGATATCATTTGACATTCATTTTTATATTTGCCAGATTCATGTGTCTTAGCGCAAACATTTGAAGTCTTCAGTCGTTCGAACCGAATCCTTTCATCGGACTAGCAGCTGTTCTTTTAAGATGGGGAATCTCTTCTCATCTGGTCTTTAAACTTTCTATTTGCAAACTGTGGACTTCACAGTAAAGTGACCAGAGATTTCTTATAGAATTTCGAATTCTTAAAACTTAATTGAATATGACGAGGTGCATGCAGCACAACAAATACACCTAAAGTTGTAAAATATTCCCCTGCCAATTTCACATGTCCGAATACTGATTAGAATAATTCAGTTTTATGCTCTAGAGTGCTACATGTTTTCCGCAGTGGTCATTATTTCACACCTTCCGTTTAACATGCGGAAACTGTGTAGTTCAATTATGTCATTACCCATTAGAAAATCACCGCATATTTTCTAAGCTGCATTGGGACATCCATATGAAATTGAATCTAGTCCAAAAGTGCAAAACATACATACAATAATGGATTCGATAAGGCAAGCAAGAATTACAAAACGGACAGAAAGTGATAATCCGAAAGATACGATATAGTTGGACAGGCTATTTTCCAAAAAATACCCAGAGGAAAGGACAGCATAGGACATCTTTCAGGACGAAAAAACAACACTTCAGTCAATGATGAAGGTCAAAATAAGATGATTATCCATCCCGCTAGCTAAGAATCAAAAGAGTCAACACTGGAAATAACTATTATAAATGAAATGGAAAAATGAAATCTTGTACATAAAATGATGTAAAAATTCGATTTGCGATTAAAACGTACAGAGTAAGCAAGTTTAATCATTTACTTTCTACTAGTATTAAACACAAATTCATATTCAAGGTCAACAACTTCAAATTTTAGGACTAAAGAAACATATTAAACAGATTCCTTTCTCAAAAAAAAATTGTTTTTCCTTTTAAAGTTTTTAAAATTTCATGATATCCCTTCGCTATTTGCAAATAAGGTAAAGAGACAAGGTAGTTTCAGCATATTTAACTAAATTACATTTTCCTTGAAGTTCACAATGCTGTAAAATACAGATCACTTAAGCGCAAACAGTAATAGTCCAGGAAGGATTTCTATTCACAATCATCAATCTTCGTTTCATTGACAAATGTAACTTCAGTCGTAATCCATAGCTCCATTTTGCAAAAATTTGATCAGCTCATTGGGAAGCATTTGATGGTAACATGATCCACCGTTATCATTATCAGCAATACCAATATCACCATCAGTTCCAGACTTACGGCAAAATATTCCAATTAAGCCATAAGGATGGAGCAAAATGGACCGTCCAGCAAGCCTTTTCAATGTTGAAGGTTTAAACGTTTTAAGACCAAACAATGTTGGACAGGACGGTGAAGCTAGTTCAATTAATTTCGAGCAGATTTTCAACTGCAACTGGCAAACCTAAAATAGATTAGCAGAAGTATAACGGGATCGTTTATCTAATTCTGATTTTTGTAATGCAAGGACGATCAAAGGTCTAGAAATAGGTATTGCCATTGGAATGGCAATGGTAATCCTATCTTATGCAAGAAAAAGACAACAAACTTCCAGCATGGCAGCTCTGTAAGCTGGCATCCTACGATCTTCAGTGGTTTTCGTTGTTTGGTTATTGGTACCAATGAAATTTTCACCATCCGGATATACACCATTCAACGCATAACTCGACAGTGATACTTCATCGCCTTGTTTGATGCTATAAATTAAATTGTAATAGTTCTCGGATGCAAAAGAATTCGTTGTTTCAAGTAGGTTTTAAATAAGTTAAAAATCATTTCACTGTTCTGAATTTAAAATTTTTGTGTTTACAAAATATTGGAAGGATAAGGAAAGAGTGCGCTTTTCAACTTCTTGCAATGCTTCCAATCCGTAATGTAATTAGAGCAGCTCATTTAATGATGCAGTTGATCGCCAACTCTGACATTTATTCAGATTATCATGCCTGTTCATCTGTCTGAATAATGCAGCCTTCCCAGTAATGGGCTAAATAATTAACAAGCTTAAGTAATTTGAACTACATTTTGATAGGAATCTTCTTAAAGAGATCACAACAAAATGGACCATATTAAAAATAGCATTTCTTAACTTCTGAATATGCTGACAATCAGTTCGTGATGCGATATTACGTTGAACAATTTTTTAAGCAGCAAAGCATACCTGAAAATAATTAATTGGCAGTTGTAAAAACCTTTAATAATAAATAAAATTTAAATGCAAACTTTTGAAACTTTGTAATAAAGGAAGGGCTTTGATCAAAATCCACAAAAACAGACAAAAGGCACAGAGGAGTCAAAGTTTGAGTACATAAAATCTTTTTAGGAATACAGTCTCTTCAAATACCATTTCGAATACGCACTTCACAATTGTTTCCCACGACTGATCGAGCATTGATCTTTTTTCAAACAACTGCAAACTCTTTCCCTTTTATTTTTCATCTTTCATACACTCAGTATTTCGTCGATAAAACGAGTAGCTGGAAGTCCACTCCGGGAAGCAATACCGGGAACAATATCCGGGAAGCAATAAGCAATACAGGAAGCAATGTCCCGGAAGCAATATCGCGATCAGTAATCTGCCACTGAGCTTCTCTGTTGCAGAATTTTCGGTTAAATGTAGTCAAAAGTTTGCAAGAAGATGTAGCACCTGTACTCACATGAAAAACCTACTGTTTTGAAAGGTTTGCAGTTCAACAATGATATTCCAAGATTCTGCACAATTAAGTAAGTTCGGTGCTACGTGTTAAACAGAGAGAGAAGGAATTCAGGAATTATGAGTGCATGAACCAGAAAAATCCTTTTTACAAAGACATAAGCTGAGATGCATTTGCCTGTGAGCTTCCGCGATTTATAATTTACTGAAGCGATAGAATTCTAAGCTGGAGCTCCTTGTAAAACGTAGTATTTAGGCAGATCATTGATTGTTACGTCGCGATAACATACCAAGCACGCATTTCTTCAAGAACTCCAATTTCCACGATCATTTTTGGATTGCTATCAACCGGTTGTTTGACTAAGTTAGACTTATTTATTCTATACAATGCTTTCTCAGTTTGTAAGAAACTTTTGAAATGCACTAAACATTCACCGCAATAAAGGGTTTTAATTGGGATCGGTCGAGGATAGTGAAATTTGTGACAAAAAGGAAATATCTTTAAGAACTCAATTGTTGTTCAAAAAAAAAACTCTTAATGGACAGAAACAAATTTACGAATGTATGTGAAAGCAATTACGGAATGAGAAATGCTTGTTAAAAAGATGGAAATGATGAATGTTTTAGAGAAGGATGAACTCAAATAAATCAACCTTTAGTTGACTAACATTCTTTTAACTACTTGTCTAGCACACTTCTCGCTTTCACTCTTATTTTGCGCTTCTAGCAAGCACCACTCTTGAGATTTTCCATTAATAATTGCTTGAAATAATATCAGTTAAGTTCTCACTTTTTTTCCATTCAGTCTGTTCTATCCGAAACAAGTAGCTTGTGCAAATTGCACTTCAGAGAAATTATCACCAAACATGAGTCGAATTTAAAATAAAACTTGGGAAAATATTCTAATCGACAAGAATCTGATAAGAGAATATTTCAAGAATCAGAGTTAGCACTAAAATAGAAAGAACAGATAGTCATCAGATTCTAATTTTACTATAAGAAATATGCAAATGGAATGATGTCAAGTGGAGTAGCATGCAGAATGCAACCGTATGCTAATTCAAAAAAAAAATTACATAGCAGTGCCAACGGTTAATTATTTTGTTATATACATTCCACTCTATTGACTGTAAGGAATCTTCAGAGTAAAAGCAAGTTAACCTACTTGCCATTTGATGACAGTTCTATCTAAGGCTGATTAAACTAGAATAGTTTGACAATAGATGCAATTAGTTTCTATGAGAAATTTAGTAAAATTTATATCTATCCGCATGCCTTCGCGATACATGAAGAGATAGCAACGGATGTGAAGAGAATGAATAATGAGAGAAAGAAGAGGAGGAGGTAACAGGTTGTTAGGCATAGTGCAACTGAATAATATTTCTGTCAATACCTTAGCTTACTTTCGTAAGGTTCGATACACTAACTGACACATTTGCATGCTTGTTGAATGATTTGCTTAGTTTGTTTGAAGCAATAAATGCTATTAAATCATTCTATAGGGGAATAAAAATGAAGGATGAGAAAAATTCAAATCAAAGGAGAAAAAATGTTAACATACTCTCATCTCTTACTCCCATTTGTCTCACAATACCCTTACAATTCGAAAAACATAGAAAGGTGACATTTAGGCGATTTCCTTGTAATTTTAACTAAATGAATGATATGTGCTTATAGTGGGAGGCTTCACTGATTCATTAATAATCAGTGTACATGATTTAAATTAATTTACTCCTACTACTTGAAATTTTCACTCGTAAAAATAGACTTTATGAATTATATGAAATTAATTTCATGGAGCGAGAGATAATATAGTGCCGCAGATTCCATTAATGACATAATAACTTATCAGTTTAATGGATTTATCAAAATAAGATGAATTTATTTTATTTTAATGATTTCCAAATCAGCCAGAAAAGGGATGGTAAAACGGAAGAAAAAAAAATGATGAGAACAAAATTAATTTTAATTGCTGGCCTTTGATCGTTGTTGCGCATTCTTTTTAATTCACATTAAACATTGATATTGAGTGATGATGATTCAGTGAATTTTGCTGAGCACTTGAACAGATGTGAAGAAATTGAAGTAAGAGTTGTCGAGTTCGTCGTTCACAGATCTTCGATGCAGCTTATCAAGCCTTTTATGACGTTAGAGATACTGCTTGATTTTTGTCAAATGAATCAAATAGAACCTAAAAAAACATATTTTAGCATGTTCATTGCATTAATGCACCTTCTCCAACTGAACTCTCTTTAAAATTTGATTAGGCGATGCCATCATATTACTGATAAAACAAGCAAAAGGGGAGATGAGAGCAAAATAACTGCGTCTGTCTAAATATGAATGAATGAATAAGTTGTGCTAGAAGAAACTGATTTATGCAATTCTGAATTCTTTTCAAACTTATGAGGTGAACCTCAACTGAACTGACATCGTTCAATAAGAGAGAAGAATTTTTTGGTGTAATTTATTTTCTAATGTTAAGCAAATATTTATGCAGTCAAATAAATTTGCTAATCATTCATAAAGGTTGTCAAATATCAAATTCATACATTGAAAGAAGAAAAAAACTTTGTTCGGGATCTTAATTGTAACTGCTCAATGGAATGAAATGATCTATTGATGGACGAATCGTGGTTTAAAAAAGCAATAATTTGGCAAAGCTTACTTTGTTTATGAAATAGGAAAAAAGCATCATTTTGCTCTTTTATAAAAATGAAAATGGAATGACAATGTAGTTGTTTCTTGTAAAAAAGGCACCGATCTGTCAATAAATGCATATTTAATAATCCAATATTAGACAATTTGTTAAACATTACAATAAAAATTTCGACTGAAAAAGTGCATCTAACAACATTATGAACAGCGAAAAGCATTGTTGTATGGAATGAATGTTCAGGCGGAATAGGACGTTGTGTCCTCATCAAAATATCGCTAACTAAAGGTATGTACTTGTCCTTTCCAATAAATTTCACTTTTCAAATATTTCAAAGCCCAGAAGCGGATTTGTCTTCCAGCAAGACATTAAGAATGTGAAGAGAAATTAAACAAAATGAAATTGAACAAAATAAAGTTATGTATTTGAATCTAATAGCTCACTGAATTCAAATGCACAAAACAAAATGCTTAATTATACTCGATAAGCCGTCTTGTGTTTTTATACCTATTGCTGGTTGTCAAGTCCCATCTGAAGATAAAATTATCAATATTACATTACACATACGGATTCTTGCTGCCAAGCACAAACTAATGAACGCTTCTGTAAAAAGTATCATGAAGCCAGTGCAAATATCGAAAAAGCGCCAATCAGTGCGTAGGAAAATTTCAAGAAAAAAATTTCTTTATAACAATTAAATAAGGTCGTTGCAATGATGCCAACACACTCTCGAATCGGAAATAATAGTTGAAAGTTTCTCAACCTAACAATGTTTCTCGTCAAAATGGATAAGGAAAGAGGGATTTCAGATCGAAATTTGGTACCACAATTTGAACGTACTCTATTAAATAAAATAAAACTAATTCTGGAATCTGAATACTGAATTTGAATTTTCTAAGACAATGTACCTTTAAAATAATTTGTTGCAAAAGAGGCGTCCAAATGTACAAACAATTATTCAGCATTTTCATCACACAATGAATTTATCTTGAGATGTTTGAAGCGTTGAAACTACAACAATTACAAGTATTTACTTCCTTTTTCAATCACAAATAGTATAGTTTTATGTTTCTTTTTTCCAGGAAATTCTTTCAACCTCACTATAGAAATATAGCAATGGACAAGTGAAATGAAATGAAAAATCCACGCCATTTCAGCAAACGACAATCTTTCTCAAAAAGCTTCAAGCATTTCTTCTACAGAAGCATGAGATAGGTGTAATAAAGAAACAAGCATGACAAGTAAAACATTTAATCTGGAATCAACCGAAACAAATTATCCCTGTTTGATTTCAAATCAGGAATTACTTATCAGTATAATGGCTTATGCTACTGCTATCTGGTTGTGTGTGTTGCCTATTTCACCCCTTTCCTGTCATTTGGATATAACTTTAAACGCCTTTTCATTAGCAACAGATGTCTCCGTGCGTACTTCTCTCTTTCTCTCACAAATACAATCCCTTTATCTGTCATAAAATATCCATGGATACAAGAAATAATTCGCTTATTGCAGTTATTTTTATGAAATGACGCAATCAATAATGCTATTCTCCAGTATTGCTTCCTACAAATACCATTACTCCAAAGGTAAAATTACACAAAACCGGCCTGATTTTACACTTTCAACGTGAAACTTATGCTGAAAATTCCGTCTTGAAAAATGTATCTGTAGAAAATGCGACAAAATTTGTCTGCTTCATCTTATCAATATATTATCTAAGGGAAATGCATGAGACGAAAGGGAGTGGGGAAGAGAATCGATCATCGATTCTGAAAGGGAGGGAAAAGAAGAACTGAAGAATTAATTCATATATTTTTGTTCTTTGTGATGATTTAATCGATGCACTAATTCGTTCAAGTTTTGTAATATAGCAATTACCTTATCCCACCCCAACTTTCTGGTAAACGTCATTTGTTCACAGAAACAAGTTAAAGCTGGGAATATCGATGATCACTTAAAAATAAAGCATGAAAAACAAGTGAGATTCCATGCGAAAACAAGTACAGATTGATGCAAATACGTTTCCAGAAACTTTTTTAGGTACTAATCGTTCGATAAACGTATCTTCCATATAAGTACTTAGTGAAATTTCAAAACAATCAGACTTTCGAAGATCGGAAAAAGATAATAAAAAAACAACGAAATTGGAAAAGAACGGTGCAAATAGCACCTGTTCAGTACACTTGTTACAAAAAGTAGAGGTAGTGATACAGTCGTAT